GGGGCCGCGCTGCTGGAACTGTGTCGAGAGAGAGAGCAAGATTAAAGAGCGAGAAAGGAGATGCCCTTCCCCCAGGCCTGGATGATTTGGGGGGGCCGGGCCCCTCTCTGTCTCCGACCTGGTCCCTTCCTGAGCAGGGCCGGGGCGGAGCGGGGGGACATGCCCCTACATGCCCGCAGGGCCCTTTCCTGTCAGCCTCTGCTACCTCACCAAGCAACCCCCAACACGCCTTCCTCGCACAGGGTCAGGGGTAGGGGGTTGGAGGCCCAGAGAGGCCACTGGACATCGCCCAGAACTCGATCCTGATGCTCACTCCCAGTCCTTCACTCATTCCCCATCCTCAGCGCAGGGACCAGTTGGGGAGACGTTCAGCGAACCCCTAAATAAGACATCTACAGCTGTGACAAGCGCCGTGCAGAACAGAGAGTGATATATTAGTTTCTGGGAGTGATGTTTAGGTCGGTGGTCAGGGAGGGCCTCTCTGAGGAGGTGGCGTTTGAGCCTAGACCAGAATGACAAAGAGATTCCATCCCCGAAGAAAGCTGGGGGAGGCAAATCCCAGGCCAAAGGAACAGCCAGTGCCCAAGTCCCGAGGGAGAACCGGCTCGGCGTGTTCCTGGAACAGGAAACCGCGGGGGGAGGGGAGTTGGCGGCGGCGGGGCGGCTGCCTTGGCCCCATTTCCCGGAGGAAGATGGTGAGGCCGCCTCTCCTTCTCCTCCTCCTCCTGCGGGCCGCCAGGGAGAGAGGCGGGCAGCGAGACCAGGCCGCGTGGCCGCCAGGTGGCGCGCGAGCCGCGTGGGCCCTGGTGGCCGCAGCCACGTGACCCCGGGGACCGCAGCCGCGAGCCGGGGCAAGTGCCCGGGGGAGCCCTGTGGCGCCACTCGCAGATTGGCCCCGCCAGCTCCTCACCAGTTCGTGGGGGCGGGGCCACAGCTAGGCGTCATTTGGCGCTCGGACCCCGGCCAGGGACGGAAGAGTCGGCGAGGATGAGCAAGTCTGGCCGCTGGGGCCACCCCCGCCAGCCGCCCCCTGCAGGTTCAGTCCCCTTCACTATCCCCGCACAGCCGGAGCCAGCAGTTTCCATGGGAACCGCAGCCGGGTCTGCGCGCCCAGGAGTAGCCCGCCTCCCGGCCCGGCACGGCTTCCAATCCGACGGCAGCCGGGAGGAACACGGGTGGGGAAGACGCCATCGTTCAGGATCCCCAGGTCATCCAGGTCGCCCCGGCACACCCAAGAAGGGCCACCGCGGGACCCGCATCGCCACTGCCCAGATTGCGCGGGCCACTATGATTGGCCTGGCTTCTCTATCAGCGTGGCGGCGCTCTCTGCCGGGTCCGCTCTCATTGGCTCCATCTCTAGGGCCTCCTCCCGCAATTGGTTCTCTCGAGGGCCGTCCCTGATTGGCCAAATTAGGCTCTCCTTGCTGGGGTTGATGGCACTCACGGAGCCCAAAAGGGCGTGCAGGGACGAGGGTAGGGTGGGGGCTGCGACTCTTGGGTTAGGGGGTCCAGACTATCCCGCCCACAGCACCCTCTACCGGGCCGTCGGACCGCTGTCTGTGGTGCTGAAGCCTCACTGGAAGGCGCCCCTGCCATAGTTAGTGAGAATATCTCGCTCCTGATGGCCGCCTCGACATAAACGTGCGCTTGCGCCCGCGCACCGAAGGAGGCTGCGCCACCCCCATCGCCTTAGAGAGAAGCCAAGTCCCCACTAGCAGAGAGGAAGCGTGACTCCACGGGCAGACCAATCACGAGCCCGGAAAGCCAGGATATTTACATGGCAGATCCGCCCACCCGAAGTTCACGGGGACCGAGAAGGCCCAGTGGTTTCCCGGGGCTGCAAGGCACCAGCGGGGTTTGCCTGAAACCCTAAGCCCCAAACCTCTTCACCCCCTTTGGAGCAGTGCCGAGTTCCCCTGCACTGTGGGGTGCCAGTCTCCACCCTTTTGATCCCTAGAGACACCTAGTCGACTCAAAATCTACAGGGTTCCAGTTCCTTTTGCAGGCAGACTAGGGCCGCAACGACCCCCACCTTCCTCCCTTGGTCCCCCCAAATCTGGAGACCCAAGCCTCCGCCCCTTGAAGTCTCGGTTCCTCGTCCCTTTCCAGTCCTCTCGGTGGACAGCAACTCCAGAAGGTCGTACGATCGGGCCACCAACACCTCCTCGCCCTCTTCGCTCCTCCAGCTCCGGGTGCTGGACAGAGGAGGGGAACCCGCCTAGTCTTCCGGCGAGAAAGCCCGCCCAAGAAGGGGCGCCAAGGCAGGAAGCAGGATCTGCGGGGTCGAAAGGGCCCAAAGCTGGTGATCCGAGCCCCCAAGAAGTGCTTTCTCGGGGCGCGGGGTCCTGGCCAGCGCGCGCTCGCTTCCACCTGCCGCGCCGTCGGGCGCCGCGAGGAGGCGGGGCTCAGTGGCCGCAGCCAATAAGCGACGCCGGCGCTGGCAGCTGCCGCTATAAAGGGCTGGGGGCGGCGGCTGCGCGGCCCAGAGCGCGGAGCGCGCAGCGCGGGCCGGAGGGTGGGAGGGAGGGCGGGCGAGGGGAGAGGACTGAGCACCGGGACCGGACAGGCCGGGCCGAGGGGCGGCGGCGAAAGGCAAAGCGCCGCGATCTCTGTCGGGAAGCGCACCCTCCCCGGGCCCCGCGGGGCCGCGCAGGGGGCGTTCTCAATCCCGCGCCCGCTCCCTCCTTCCATCCCCTGCCGCCCGCAGACCACCCCGGGGCCCTGTTATCCGCGGGCGCGTCCCCGGGCTCGGGCCCGTCCCCGGCCCTCGAGGGAGCCGCCGCCTTCACCGACACCTCTGCAGCGGCCGCGCCAGAGGCCGCCCGGGCAGGACCCCGGCGTGAGCATCGGGCGCCCCCCAAGGAGTGCACGACCCCCGGATCCGCCCTCAGCACGGACCGCGCCCGCCGGGCACACAAGAATGGTCACTGTAGGTATTCCCCTGTGGCTGAGAGGGAACCTGGTCGGTGAGGGGTTAGGCACAGGCTCCGCGGAGATGGAGGGGGGGGTAGGACCAGGCCTAGCTAGGCCCGGGTGGGGGGGTAGGACCGAGCCTCGGGGCCTGAGAGTGGGCAGGGCCGCGCCCAGAGTGCTGAGGGCGCTTGGAGTCTTGCCCCAGAGGCCTTAGGGAGCCGAGCTGCGATCCGGGGGGCGTCCTACGGCGCCCTGGGGGCGGGATTGCCCCCCTCCAGCAGGCCTGATGGGGGAGGGGCCGCGGCGGCGGAGGATGCCTCCTCCATCCAGGCCCGGACCCCGCAGGCCGCCCAGGCTAACGCAGGGCCCCGATCGCTGGTGCTGGGCCAGGACCAGGCGGCCAGCCGTCCCCGAGAGCCCCGGGGAAGCGGGTGGCGTCGGATGGCGCGCCCCAGGCCTCGGCCGCGCCCGGGATCTCGTCCTCGAGCCCGTCGACCTTGCGGCAAGCGGGGAGGGGAGAGGAGGGGGCGCGCCCGGAGGCCCCGCGGGCCCGCCGCCGCCGCCGCCGCGTCCCTTTGTTTCTCGGCGCTTCTTCGCGGGCCGTAGCCTCGCGCGGGCGCCTCAGGCTGCCGGGAGGGGGAGGGGAGAGGAGGGCCCGCGGGGGGGCCTCCCAGCTCCTGAGCCCCCGCCCCCCGGGGG